AACCGTAGCAAAACGGTGCACACCGGTTTGAGCTTGAACTTGCCCCTGATATGTGCAGTTTACTTTGCTTGCTTTAAAAAAAGTTATCCTCTTCAGTAACATTTTTTATATGTTTGTTTTTTGATTGTAGTCTTTTTTCCACTGCTATTGTTTTCTTTGGATTTGCTTCTCAGTTCCATTCAATTTTAATCTTTTCTTTGTTTATTCCATGTTTTATAGGCAACCTCTGTCATGCTAATTCAGATTAGCACAGTTGGTTTTAAATTAACCTAGTTTATTTTAGTCCAGGACTCCATAGTACAGGAGTTAGTAATCTGTCCTTAATCTGTGTTTTTTTTAGTCATTTTTCAATTATTCAAAAAAGTCATTTTTAAAACTTTGATTAACTATCCTAGATTAAGCCTACTTCTGGCTAAAACTTTGTCAGCCTAATGTACCACAAACAGTCATTAAAGATGAATGAAGAATAAAGACCAACCTCCTGGTTCCTCGTGTTTAATTACTTGGAGCGTCTAAAAGGTGAGCTGATTTGTTTTTCTTAAAAAAAGCCGATCTGCACAAATAAATTAAAAGAAATTAAATTTATAGACTCGCGTGGTATTTGATCAGCATCAACAGTCTTTGTGTGTGAGGATTAGAGGAGAAAAACGAGCGAATTTATTAGTCAAATATTTAATTGAAAATCACACAAAGTTGCAGCATGTAAATATGGAAATTAAGATAAATGAAAACACGTATTAATGATAAGATGTAGCCTTATGAAAAAAAAACCGAACTAAAAGTTTAGCAATGAAAAACAACATCCTTGGTTTATGTGTCCATCTAAATATCTGAAACTTAAACAGTTGAATGAACGGTATGTGAATTCCATATCCACAAAATAAGATTGTGAAGATGTTTCTGAAAAGCTGTTTACTTGATATTGAAATTGATATTGCATTTTGCAGTGTCTAACATCAGATTCTGTGGTGAAGATAATAACTAACGAGAATATTGCTTTATATCCCCTCCAATTCTACAAGAAGCCATGAGACCCAAATCTAGAGCCATAACTTTATTGTGTTAAAGTCATTTTTATTTGGTACTAAAGAAATGTCAAATCTACATTAATGGACAGAGTTAATCCTATAATCTTACTTATGATTGTTGATGTGCTTAGCTTTTTTATTATTATTCATTAAAAATTAGATAAATCAAGATGTTATATAATGATTAGGCATCCAGAAAGATCATTTCCATGCTGCTGATACTACCCTGCTGAAACAAAGCAAAAAAAAAAAAACAACAATAGACACCATCTTAAAATTTGTAATAATTGTACTGATTTTACTGGAAACTGTAATGGACCCTGTTGGTCTCTACTGGTAATTGGTCAGCTTCTATTGGTGGCTTGTTAAACCCACTAAATTCTAATGTAATATGTCCCAAAACACACTAGATAAAACCATTTTTAAAAAAATGATGGTTTGTAATGTTTGTAATGGTATTTGTAGCGGGAACCATTAGAATTTATGTGCTTTCTATTGTTTTTTTTCCAGCAGGGTATACTGGGTCATGGGTGTGCAGGATGTTTACTGACGTACAGCAGGGTGATCACATCAGAGTAAAGAGGTTAAGGAAATGTTATACTAGTGTTATGGGAACCTTAAATTAACATTTTAACATTTAAAATATCATTATACAAACCAAAAATTAAAGTTTTATTTCTGTTAAAAGTGTTACAGTCTCTTCTTCAGCTTCCTGAACAAGAACAGTTTGTAAAAAGCTTCTACTTTCCTTCATGAAAGAGTAAGCAAACTACAAGTGATACATGCATTATAAGACAACTGAACATAATATGAAACTCATAAAAAAACACTATGATATAATTTATATCATGAACCAAAATTATACAACATAATAAAACGTTGTGACATTGTTCTTTGTGGAGGAACTCCATCTGTGAGTTGATCTGAATCTCACAGTTGAATCTGCTGGTTTTGAAGATGAAGATGAACTTTATTCACTGTGAAAACTTTAGATAATGTTTATTTGTCATGTCACTTGTTATGGCTGGTTAGGACAGATTTAACCAGATGATATTTTATTGCTTGTTGCATTATTGTGTCTCATTTGATGAGGACGCAGCATCATATCTGAAAGTGCTGGATCTGAAGATGATCTACTTACTGTGATAGTTTTTTGTATGACTGTGTAGATTAGAAGAATGATTAAAACACTTCCCACATGCAGTGCAGTGATACGGTTTCTCTCCAGTGTGGATCCTCTCGTGTGTTTTCAGATTTGATGAATCGCTGAATCTCTTGTCACAGTGTGAACACTTGTAAGGTTTCTCTCCAGTGTGAATCCTCTCGTGTCTTTTTAAACACTTTGCTGTAGTAAAAGTCTTTTCACACTCAAAGCACATGTACTCTCTCACACCAGTATGTATTTTCTGATGTTCTTTTAAATGTTGCTGACATGAAAAGCCCTTTCCACACAAATAACATGAATGTGGCTTCTCTTTTGAATGAACGTTCAAGTGTTTCTTCAGGACTGAAGCCCACATAAATGTTCTGCCACATTGATCACACGTGTACAGTTTCTCTCTGTGGATGTTCATGTGTACCTTAAGGTTTGCTGATCGTGTGAAACTCTTCCCGCACTGATCACAAGTGAATGGTTTCTCTCCAGTATGAACGCTCATGTGATGCTCAAGACTTGTTTTGCGTGTGAAACTGTCTCCACACGGAGTGCAGGTGAAAGATTTCTTGACTCTTATTTTCTTTAAATCTTTCTGTTTGGTTTGAGAGCAACTCAAAGGTTTTTCTCCAGTTTTGACACAAGTTTTCTCCTCATCTTCACTCAATTCATTATTGTCCTTGTTTTCTTTATTCAACTCTGAAATAAAAGTAAAAATAGTCAATCTTCAGTAACTGTCAGTAACCCTGATGTAACAGTGTAAAGTAAACAATTGCTATACAAATTTAGGTAATTTTGATGCACTTTTATAAATTATATGTCCCGAACCTTTCCATGAATGAGGTCATTGATCTTCCAATTATTATTTTTAAAACATTATAGGCACAAATCCCATTTTTATATAGGAATAACCATTAAATAAGTTGGATCAACTACACAGTTATCTAACATAAATATTATTGAAAAGTACCCTATTACAACAAATCTAAAACTGCTTGAAGCTTTATAACCTTCTGCATTATTAATGAAGAATGAAGAAAAACACCAACCTGTTTGTTCTTCAGTATCTTCAGTGTGTTTCATTCTGCAGGGTTTGTGGGAGGGGCTTCACTGATTATGTAATTGTTGTGGGAGGAGCTTCACTGAACATGAATTTCTGTGTGGAAGAAGCGGATTTGCCAAAAAATTTGTTTTACTAATCTACACATTAAAGCATTTATGTAAGTGAAGCAGATGTCCTCCAAATTCTATCTTTGAAGAGACCAGAGCCTTTAAAATGCTAATTGTTGTCTCTTTGTAAATCATTATATTACTATATCAAAAGTAACAGCATCAACACAATGAGCACAACAACTTAAAATGCTCATTCAATAACACTGCACTCACATATGTGGTAATTCATACATTCTGTTTTGTCTTTCTGTTGTTGATATTTCTTATATATTTTTTTCATTTTGCCCCCGTGTTAGAAAGTTGAAATTTGATGACACCCATCTTTATTAATGACTACAGATAAATAACTACACTAGAGCACACAATATCTAAATATAGTTTTACGTGACTCAAAATGAAGTATTTAGCGGCATCTGTTCTTAGTTGTAACCATCTAAAGCTCAGTAAAGATAGTTTTGATATTCGTCAGATATTCGCTTTTCCCCTTGTTCTATAGTGTTGACAGTCTCAAAGATATCAGTAGCACTATTAGTTTTATTGTATATCGACATGAAGCATTCAATCAAAACCACCAATGCTTATTATAGCTTCATATTTATACCTAAGAACATAGATATGTATAGGTAGATGCCCTATTAGCGGCTGTTTCTATGGGCCGCTATATGTAAGCCGTTGCCATATTGCAATGTCCGTGAACACTCGAGAGCAAGTTGCCGGTGCATCAGGAGTGCAAATAGTTATACAAATGTATGAATATTTATATCTTCTGTAGATTTCATATGATGCTTTTGTTAAACTAACACAATACAAGATAAAGCCATTAGCTAACAAGGCATTTAAATTGTACTTTAGTTTAAAAACCTGTAATATTGAGTTAATCAGGGTTCTTACACTTTTTCCAAAGTCAAATTCAAGCACTTTTCAAGTATTTTCAAGGTGCATTTTCAAGCTTTTCCAGCACTTTACAACTGTGGTAAATTGCATGTTAACATACATACTTGAGTTCTTCACTTTACATTATTGTTAAGTTATTGTTCTATTAAAAACCATCTGTCTGGATTGCATATGACATTGCCTAATATAAACAGCTAACATACAGTATATAAATTCTAATGTTTTTAAAAAAGAAAGAATTGACAGGGTGTATGTGCAGATTTTTTTTAAATAAAATCCTGAGACCTGCACAAATAAAATGAATACTGTATGAGCAGTGTCTATGGTAGGGCATTGTCTATGGTAAAATATTACACCATAAACTGACTGTAAAAAAAAAAATGATTTGGAGTTGAAATAACACAGGTTTTTACAAATACGATAAGTTTTATAAAGTGATAAACCTCAAATTTCAGCCTTTAAACAATTTTTACGAAAAGGGATTCGTCAAAACTATAAGTTATTATTTTAATTTAAAACACACACACACAAACACACATCTTACTTTAATTATTTAAATTTTTGTATTGCTCTGATTAAAAACAACAGACCTGCTTATTGAAAATGCAAATTCATTCTCTGACAGCGGGGGGCGCTTTTGGAACGGCAGGTATGCAACGGTTTCCCCGGTAACAGCAGTACACAGTCTTTATAAGTAGGCAAGATGAAATACAAATGAAATTGAAACTTTTCTGAGGGCAGTTGGTTCCCCTCAGAAAAACCATCGTATCAAAACACCTTTAATTTTTTTTTTCTCGACGTTTTGACTTTGAAATGTTTATTCAATGAAATCATAGCCTTTTGAAGTTTAATCATCACATTAACCAATATCGTGATTATTGTATTTCCTTCTTAAAATTTAAGACCTCTTGAAATTATAAACCCTGATTTATCACAGAATAGTGCTGCAGTATTATGAGAAAATTATTATTGTTGGTTGCTCTTGATTTGATGATGATTAATGTTGATTAATAGATTCTTCACATTGGTTATTTTAGTACAGGGTTTTTTTTGTGGGGAGGGGCACCTGCAACCCAGGGGGGCACCTGCACCTGTCAAGGGGGGTGAAAGCATCTGTTAATTTAGAGGCATACACTCGAGTATTTAAGAATACGAGCTAGAAAATGTTTAGCCATCCACTAGGGGGCAATCTGATTAGTCCCACTGCTAATCAGTCGACAGAGCTGAGTTGGCCCGAGTATCAGTCACACTTATTGACAGTGTAAGATGATTTATGTTTAGCCGTGTCAGGAATCCAACCACAGATTGGCATGTTGTTATCTCAGAAACAGGTATTAGAAATTAGACAAACTTGAGGTGTGCATGTCCTAAAGGGTTGAAAACCCCTGTTTTAGTAGCATGACAAACAGAATGGTTATTCAAATTAGGATTAATTCATATACAGACAATGAGCAACAAGTGTTCCTCATCACTGAAATGGATGATTTTGTTCATATCTGCATTGTTGTTTATGATGAGAGTAATCGCGAGAGTCCATTATTATTCCTTCAGTGAGCGCCTAAACCGAACACAACACTAGCAGATTTTTCCTCACTGGTGACTAATTCAAACGCCTCTGATTTAGCACTGCATAAAGTACATGTGCTTAACACAAACGTGTGTGATTAGTTATAATGATCAATGTGCATAAAGCAATCTTTGATGCAGTGTAAGCAGATCTAAACATATGCCGCATCCAACACTTTTAATTTATTTTCACATTGTGAGTGACGACATAGACCGTTCCAAGAATGCGGACGCTTCAAAATATCTGAAGCAGTCGAATGTGGCATCTACCTATGAATCTATGCCTAAGGCCGGTTTCACACCGCATGCGTAGCTAAGCAGTGTATATATGTTTTCTTACACTGGATTAAACCCACAGTGCATGGTTCTTGTTCAAAGTAGATACGAGTAAACATGAAAAATATCAAATTTGACCATAAAATCAATTAAGTGAGCTGTTCTGTGTTTCACAACATTCATTTCACGAATTCACACTTACATATAATGAACAGAGTAAAGGTTATGCGTATTTGGCGTGCTGTCCGGGGAGAGGGCTACGAGCTCGGTCATTACTCTCAAGCCCGGGGTACTCCCCCTGTCCGGGGAGAGGGGTCCGAGCTCGGGTCTAAGCCCGGACCCGAAGCGCTTCCCCACGAGTGTTCCTCCCCGTGCTGGGGTAGGAACGGGCTGAAGGTGAGGAGTCGGGGTGGTGGAGGGATGCTGAAAGACTAGAGATAATGGAGGTAAGGCTGCTTTGATTATTTATAGAGGTTCTCTCTTGTGCTGATTGGATAGATGGTGTAATTACTGATGATGAACTGGCCGTGTTAATTATCTGCGCGTGCTCCTCCCGAAACTTGTTAATAAAACATCACTTAGTGCTGTAAGAAAAAATAGGCTTAATAAATGTACAAAAACACGTCATTGCCAGGAGTTTTTGCCCAAATTTCAAAGGTTCATTTAAATTATTAAAACTATACTTTATGGGCCAGATTTACTAAACAGGGTAAATTAGCGCGAGAGCGCAATTCCAAAACAGCGCCAATGGGCGTGGAAATTTCTCTGTGTGATTTACTGACATCACACAAGTTAAAGAACACAGACGCAACATCTCATTTCTATAATGACCAGTGCAATCTACCAAGAGCAGCACAAATTACCGCCTGCTTTAAGACATGCGTTTTCTGGTCGTTAAATAATGGCGCAAATACCAGTAATTTGACAAGCGCAAACGTTAGTAAATCATGTTGCATGATTCATTTTAATACTCTACTACCATACATTTTGTGTCTGAAAGAGAAACTCCTACAAAATGCATATTATTTAAGGTCAGGCGCAAAAATAACTGTGTCCACTATGGAATAAAAATAATGACAAATGTCTTTGAAACAAAAAGGCATGTTGAACAGCATAACTGTAAAAATAATGTATTGAATTAACAGTGCTTGCATTTTAATGCCTTGTATTTTCAGGGCTTGCATTTTTAGGTCCTGAAATTTAACATAGCTGTTTATTTTGGCTGTGAATTTTTCAATTCAAAACATTTCACACAATTAAAAATTCAATAATTCATATTCACCTTCCAGAATTCACTTTCGAAATATTCAATCTGCTTAAAAATACAATGTATAATATTCGACAGGCAAATTTCGGTCCATTTTATTTCACTTTACAAATTAGCTTCCACAAAGAGAGCAACTCAAAGGTTTTTCTCCAGTTCCGAGATACATTTTCGCAACTTCACTCAATTCTTCATTATCCTTGTTTTCTTCAGTCAACTCTGAAATAAAAGTAAAAAACAGTTAATGTTCTGTAACTCAGTAACCCTGATGAACCCTGATGTAACAGTGTAAAGTAGACAATTGCTATACAAAATATTGGTCATTTTGATAAATTTGTATTAAGGCTGTCAAAAATAACATGTTAATAACACATTAACACAAACTCATTTTAGCGGCACACATTTTATTAATGCAGCACACATTTCCTGTTTGACCCGTGGCCTAGCCTTTAGTAGGAGAAATAAGAGATGCAGCCATAGCCAGTAAAGGGTGCAGCAGCTTGCCAGAAATGGAGAAAGAAAAAGGTCTTCTGAATGGTAAATTCATATACAAAACGATGTCTGATGGTTCTCTCGACAAGACATACTGTAAGTTGTCTGCATTTATTGTCGATGTGAATTAAGTTATCACCATAGCACGTCGAGTTTAAAATATCACTTGATGGCGAAGCATACAGCTGATGCAGAGAGCTCTCCTCCTTCAAGCCAAAGGCAGACCACAAAAAATAGTTTGCAGCGGAGAGGGATGGACAACTCCACAAGCAATAGACTCACCACAGCGATAGCTAAATGGGTGGCGACAGCATGTAGGCCAGTTAATGTAGTGGAGGACGAGGGTCTACTTGAAATTATTCGCATCGCATCTAACAATTATACATATGAACTACCTTCGAGAGCCACCATTACAAGCAAGGTTCACAACTCCTATGTACAGGATAAAGCTAAAGTTGAGGAGGCGTTGAGACAGACAAACACGGTTGCGCTAACCGGAGACTACTGGACGTCCCTCAGTAACGATAGCTACCTAGGGGTCACAGCACATTATTTTGACACACACTGGAATCTTTGGTCGCACGCTTTGACTGTTATGAAGACAGACGAGAGGCACTATGCTGATGTTTGAGCTGAGCAATTTCTGCAAGTAACCAGACAGTGGAACATTAAACTCAAAATTAGCACACTAACCACTGATAGTGCATGGCACGCAACATGATTGCAGTGGCCAGGCTGCTCCCATTTGAGCATATGCCTTGCATTGCACACAGCCTCCACCGAGCTATCCCAGTTTCGCTCCAGAACAGCCTGTTTGACAGCACCTTGGCAAAATGCAGGAAGGTAGTGTGCACTGAGAGATAAACCAGTGACAACTGAGCCACCTAAGAAGAGAGCTTGTCTCATGTCTGTGCCAGAGTCTTCATCTGATGACGAAGAGGACTGTATTGAGAAATGTGTGGAGCGCTACAAGGCAGAAACCTCTATTGGCATAGAGGACTGTCCCCTGCAGTGGTGGTCCAAACATGAATGGCCACACAGTGAGATGGCCTCCCTTGCACGCAGATACTTAGCAACATCTGCCACATCCATACCTTGTGAAAGATTGTTTTCACTGTCAGGTTATGTTGTTCAGAAAAAGCGAGCTGCCCTGTCATCTGAAAATGTAAACAGGCTTGTCTGTTTGAGCAACTGGCTCAGTGCAAAGAAAGAGAAGTAATGGGAACCTGTGGTTTTTCTATGTTCTTTTTGCCATGTGTTTAAAGGAGACATATTATGCCCCTTTTTACAATATGAAATATAAGTCTATGGTGTCCCCAGAATATGTCTGTGAAATTTCAGCTAAAAATACTCCACAGATCATTTATTATATCATTTTGAAAATGCCTATTTTGAGTGGAAGCAGAAACACGCTGTTTTTCGGGCCTGCCTCTTTAAATGCAAATGAGTTGCTGCTACCCGCCCCCTTTTCCAGAATAGAGCTGCGCCATTACAGCTCGGACCTGCTAAAAACATCTGTCTTGGTTCTGATTATCATGTTTATTGCGCTGAAATCATGCGTTTTAAACCATATTAGTTTAAACTTCTGATATACAGTTTTCTGAGCGCACACATCCGAAGCACACGGACAGAAAGCAGCTGTTACAGCATGTGAGTACTAAACTAAGTTCTCATTCACACACAAGTTTACGTTAAAAACACACGAGTTACAAAAACAGTCGGTTATGTCTGTGAAGGTAAACA